AGAGAGAGAGAGAGAGAGAGAGAGAGAGAGAGAGAGAGAGAGAGAGAGAGATAGAGAGGGAAGCATTCGATCGATTTCGGGTCTTGGGAGTGCGCTAGCCGAGAGAGCAGCTTCCTCTCGATTAGGAGAAAACGGTCAGCGAATGTAACGAGCATCCAAAGAGAGAGAAAGAAAGAAAGATAATAGGATAGACCGAGGCAGAGATTGAGGGTGAGAGCGAAAGCAAGAGAGAGAAAGAGAGAGAGAGAGAGAGCTAGCCACGGAATTTATCGCGGTCGTCGTCTAGCAGCGACCCGACCGTTGCCTCCTTTCGTTGGCAAGGGCAATTAGCACTCTTCGTGCAACGGGATCGTTGAACCGCTCCACTAACTCTGCGCCAACGTCTTCAAATTTATCTCATTTTCTTTTCATTTTATTCTTTTTTTCAATCTTGTTTTTGAATAGTTGCTAGAAACTGTAGGGAATCTCTTTTAGATTACTATCTCGCGCGTTGGAAAAGAAATATATTGTAAAAATATAGATAAATGGGGTAAGAACAAGGATATGCTTGTGTGTGTGTGTGGGGGAGGTGTGCATGTGTACGAGCGAATACGTGGAGGAAAGAAAGACGAATAGGAGATTTGTGCATAGATTTGCCGAGAAACTAAACTCTCGGGTATTTTTCACGAATTAAGGGTTGGGTAGAATAGGGTAGGGGCGCCGAATTCTCGCTGGACGTTCGTGCCAACTCGAAAGCAGCTCATCCCCCGTTTTTCTGTTTCGGCAGGAAAGCGCATGCACCGCTAAAACCCCTTCAACAGTATAGGTTTGAAGCACACCAATAAGAGGGAAAGCACGGTTACGCGCAAGGTACCTTTACGCATACCACTCGTGTATCTCGTCGAGAACAGAGCCAACTATCGGCGACTAATCGAGATATTTATTCGCAAGTTCGAGCTTTGAAAAAGCGCGCGAGAAATATGAGAAGAAAAAGTTCTTACCCATATTTGTCCTCTTCGACCCCCCCCCTCTCCTCCCATCCTCTCCTTCATCGACATGTCCTAATCGAATACATATTAATATGAATTTTCGAGAATTTAACGGAACGATCTTCGAAACGATTAACGCTAACGATCAGAATGTGTTTACATCTGTTTTCTTTTACTTTACAAATTTGTAAGATCAAATATATGAGCGCATATATACATGTGTGTTTACGCGTATCTTGTCGAGGTCGCATAGAGAGTTTAAATATTCGTTTGTTAATTTCATTAGTTTAGTAATAGTCGTTTAATCGAGATTGCGGGGTACGTTTTAACGAGGACACGTTCCTGAAATCTTAACATTGGTTGGAAGGGACTGGTAGTTTGTAGGAGAGACAAAGAAGGAAAATACACGTACGAACGAACACGTATATAGAATTAAACGTATACTTACGCACAGTTCGCGCACGCATAGATAGCGTATATAGGGTGACCGGTCGAAAGAAAGAAAGGAAGAAGGAGGAAAGCTGACGGTGTAACGAAGAGAAAAGCAAGGAATACCACGCGCGCACCTATGCGGAGTGTAAGTTACCAGCGAGGAGTTAGAATAAAGAAAAGAGATGGAGATAGTTAGAGTAAAAAAAAGAGAAATATAGTAGAAAAAGAGAGAGAGAGAGAGAGTACTGGTGATCGAGAACACGAGGAAGGGGTTGGTTGGTCGGTCGGTTAGGACCCCGTGTCACGAGAGAGAAATATGTAGAATAGATGGAAGAGTTGCTTGGATAGAAAGAGAGGGAAAGATTGAAAATCATCGCGAAGAGATGAAGTTGTAGTAGTGGTGTACGTTGGTATTGAAATCCACGACAACGACGACGACGACAACAACGACGACGACAACGACACGACGACGACGACGACGACGACAACGACTACGTCTACGTTTAAGTAGTGGGGGATGAATATAGGGGTGGAAGGAAGAGCACTAGAGGGAGGGTAAATCGGGAGGTAGTGGTGGAAACGCGAGAGAGCGTAGTCGAGCGATCGTCCCGCTGTGGCCACGAGCTTCGACGCTCGGGGAAGAAGAACGTAGGTAGTGTTTGAACTTCTGGCCGAGTGAAAAGGGACACCGAGAGACCGAGTCGGGAATATATAGCCAAGAAAAAAGGAGAGAAAAGAAAAGAAAAGATAAGAAAAGATAAGAAAAGAAAAGAAAAGATAAGATAAGGTAAAGAAAAGAAAAGAAAAGAAAAAAAAAGGAGGTGAGGCTCGTGAGCGCCGGCTGCGCAATCCGCGAGACGTGCATCTATCTCATCGACGTTTTTTCGACCTTTCGAGACGTTCTCAAAGTGTTTTAAAGGGCCGAACGCGAGTTACTCTTTACTCCTAATCTATTTCATTCTATTTCTCTTTTTTCTTTTTCTTGGATACTCCCTCCCTATTTCTTTCTCTCTCTCTCTCTCTCTCTCTCTCTATCTATCTCTCTATCTATCTCTATCTCTATCTCTCTCTTTCTCTTTTCGTTTGCTCGCGAATGTGAGAGGTGTGTGTGCTCGTCGATCGCGGTGTTCCCTTTTCCTTTTACTTATCCACCTTTCTTTTACATTATATCTATCGTTCTACCTATCTTTCTTTCTTTCTCTTATTCGTTTCGTCGTCGTGGTGGTGGTGGTGTGGTGGTAGTAGTGGTTGTGGTGCTGGTGTTAGTAATAGTGTATAGTCGTCACGTCGACCGACGAACTCCTCGTTCACATCGACGTGTTCGTGTTTGTGGGTGCCGTTGCTACTGCCGTTGTTCTTCGTTTTCGTCGTCGTTGTCGTCGTCGTCGTCATCGTCGTCGTCGTCGTCGTCGTCGTCGTCGTCGTCGTCGAAATCAACATCAACAACAACGTAAACATAATTCAAGATTATCAACATAATAAACGTCTGCGTCGTCGTCGTCGTCGTCGTCGTCTTAATAGTTTTCGTAATAGTCTCCTCCTCGTAGACGTTTGTCGTTGTTGGGTCGAGTCGTCGTCGTCGTCGTCGTGGGATCAGAGCCGGGAACGGTGACGGCTCTGAAAGTGTTTGTTATGCGTCGGTGGTACAGCGGTGGTTGACGACGACGTCGACGTCGACGACGAGGAGGAGGACGAGAGAGGGCGGCAGAGGAGGAGCAGGAGGAGGAGGAGGTGCTGGTGCTGGAGGAGGCGGAAGAGGAAGAGAAGGAGCAGGAGGAGGAGGAAAAGGCGAAAACGAGCGGAAAGCGGACGGTTATCGGGAGTGGAAGAAGAGAGAGTGGCCAGGTGTGTCGCGGCTTCACCGAGAAGGAGGAAGAGAACGTGCTGGTGGAGCTCGTGGTGGTGTGTCGGCGAAGAGGAAGAACGAAAGGAAGGGAGCCCGACGAAGACGAGGAAGAAGAAAAGGAAGGTAGTGCTGCTCGGAGGTTGCGCAGAGATATCGCCAAAGTGAGAAAGAGAGAAAGAGAGGGGGACGGAGAGGGTACTCTGGGAAAGAGAGAGAGAGAAATATATATATATATATATATATATATATAGATATATATATGTAGAGAGAGGACAGTGAGAGAGAGAGAGAGAGGGTGGGAGGGGGGAAATTTTGGTGTCTGTGTGAAAGAAAACGAGCGAGAGAGTTTTGTGTATATGTGTGCGCGGAAAGTATCGGTTCTCTCATTCTCCGTTTTACTCTCTCTCTCTTTCTCTCTTTCTCTTTTTCTCTTTCTTTAACTTTGTTTCCTCTCCTTTTCTAACTCTCTATCCTCTTCTCTCCCTCTCTCTGTCTCTCTAGTCTCTCTCTCTCTTTCTCCGGGTGGTCGTTTTGCGCACGAGAAGTAAGGGAGGAGGAGGAGGAAGAGGAGTAGAAGGAGGAGGAGAGCGGCCGGTGCGTGCGAAGAAGAGAAGAAGAGAAGAGAAGAGAAGAGAAGGGCCAAAGGAGAAGGTGCAAACGTGGTGTATTTTTTCTGCGAAAGGGCTTAGAAAAAAAAAAGTGTTCCGCTCCGAGGGAATCGACTACGTAGTCGAGTGTTGTAGTGCATTTTTGTTAAAGTGGTGCCTCAGCACGAAGAGGGAATCGCCAGCAGGGCAGAGGCTCGAACGCATGTAGGAACATGGCCGCATCCAGCCCCTGCCTCCCTCTAGAGGTGAGTCCAGCGAAACCGGAGCGGTTCTGCGTCCCCCCTAGCTCTTCTCTCTTTTTCTATCGCCCCGTGGCCCCGTTTATTTCTCTCCTCCTCCTCCTCCTCCTCTTCCTCCTCCTCCATCCCCTATTTTAGTCTAATCTTTTTAATCTTTAACTCGTGGAAAAGAAAAAAAACCCTTCTCCCAAAATCCTCGTCTAAATATCTTCAAACCTTGCGTTATTTTCCCCGCGCCTATATTCTCGTCGATCAATCCTCTCGGTTGATAAAACCTTTCAAACTCTCTCCTATGCACTACGATCGTTTCAATTTACCCATTTAAACGAATACCTTGTGTGAAAGTGTGACCGAAGGACGACAACGTGCTCGCCGTACGAGCACGTAACCTTATTATCCTCTTCGACTATACTCGAACCTGCTGGTTCCTCTTTGATTTTCTCCTCGCGAGACACGATCTGAAAGATTACGAGAGAAAATGATTGATTTTAACCATCTGCTAAGATTTTCACGCCCATCTAATCACGAAAGAATCACACTTCTATTGCACAATTTCGTCGTTTACCTCTCGATTTTGGCTAAAATAGAATTTACGTTGGTAATAGAAATTTAGTTCAATCAACGCAAATCATATTTTTGCGATTACGAACGTTCCTCGATTTCAAACAAAGTTAAACGTTGAAAGCTTTTCAACCTTCAATTGTTGTGACAAAAGGGAACAAACGTTTTTCCCTTTTTTTTATACTCGATAAATGTTAAGGGATGAAATGAATTATGTTTACAATTATATTATTTATTATCTATTATGAATCTTTTGTTGGTTAATAATACCTTCTTACTCGTTCTCCTAACAAGAACAATATCGAACAAGCGTGAATTTGCGAAGATCGATTATCTTTTTCTTTAAAATACACGTATGGAGGGGGGGGGGATGTTGTTGGAGGAAAAAAGACTAAAAAAGAAAAAAAAGCAAATTTTCCGTCATCCTCGTCGACTTTTGTTGTCGTTGTCGTCAGGGGCTACCTTTAATTTGGCGCTTTACGATGCGAATTTATTTTCTGCGGTGAAATTTATAGCTTTCATTAAAACCATGCCACGAGACATAACTCGAAGTTAAAACGTATGCGTGAGAGCGTCCATCGCAAAACGTTTTTACGGATAATTTATTAGGTGAGAGTTGTTTAGTTTTCTTTTTTCGATGCCAAGTATCCCTTTCTCTCTCTCTCTCTCTCTCTCACTCTATTTCTATCTTTTCTTCCCTTGTCTCCCTTCAGGGAGGACAGAGAAGTCCCGATAATCTCCGACGATGCATCTTCGTGTGTTCATTAATTTTTCACGTTGCACGAATAGCCAGCCGGCCCACTTTTCCGCCAATGAACGAGGTTTTTTCTGCTCTCTCTCTTTCTCTCTCTCTTCCTCTCTCTCCTCATGTCCGTCCTCGAAGTCGATAAGAAAGGTCGACGATCCCTATCAAAGCATTCACGTAATTGTTAATTTATTAGATGTTCGTCGGACCGTTTATCGTGTAGGAACATTCGGTGTTATGTAACTGCCAATTAAATAATTGCAAAAAGAGAGAGAGAGAGAGAGAGAGAGAGAGAGAGAGAGAGAGAGAGAGGGAGAGAGAAAGAGAGCGAGCGAGCGTGTCGTACACTCATTTCGTATCCTTAGTGTAATAGCGAATGCGTGCGTGTGTAAAATTCACGTGCGTGTATATCGCATGCCGTGCCGTCTACTCTCGATCGTGCCCTTCTGTCATTTAATCGATCTTCGCAGATCGATATTTTTCACTTGAATTATAATACATACACGCACGTAAATCTCTGCCTACGTATACGTATGTTAAATCATAAACACGTGGTGTATAAAACAGTGGGTAAATTATAGGTGTATAACATTTAGTTGATGAACTCGATTCATTTTTTGATAGATCGATCTTTTGGTCAAATTTTCTATTACAAGGAACATTCCTGGTACCATCCTGAGATATTATCGATACAGGGACGTTTCTCATTACGTCCTGGAGAGACTTGCCTTCGCCATTGACTCTCTTTTTCGTTTCGAGAAGCACTCGAGGCGAGCGTACAAAAGGAACCGAACGATCGACGAGAGCACCGATTTCTCATGGAGATAACGAAAGTAGAAAGAATATATATCTATATATATATATATATAATATATAATATATAAACTATATATGTATGAACTAAAAAAGAGAATAACGATCGCAGAAAGAGAGAAAGAAATGAGAACGTGGATTCGACCTTTCGTAACGAATTGTATATATCACTGTGTTGGATAATCGTTAAAAATATTTCGTTATTACTAATAAATTCTATCTCCTTCTATCATTCTAATTACACAAATTATATACACACAGAGAGAAAGAGAGGGAGAGAGAGAGAACGAGTGGGTGGGGATAGAGAGAATGGTAGATAAATATATAGAAGATTAAAGAGAACACGCGGCAAGAGTTTAGTCGAAGTTAGGTAGGTACTTTCTCTGACAGGGTTTTTAGCGGGTTGGTACGCGTGCTTTTGCGAGCGCCACGTGTGACCAGCCATGAGGGGAGGTTTTGCAGTTGGTACAACTGAGCTACGTTATTCTGTCGCTGTATTATTCTTACACATTAAACCAACTACGAGAAACGCTAACAACACTGACAACGACAACAACGACGAGGATGCTGATGATGATAATGATGATAACGACAATGGTGATGATGATGATGATGATGATTATGGTGATAGAGATTACGAGGACGACGACGTTGCTAGTATTGTAGTAAGAGTGAAACAGAACTAGAAAGTGGAAGAGAGATAGAGTGAGGAGGGGGGGGGATGGTAGATTTTGAAGTTAGAGTGGGGGAATAGAAACAGGGTAAAAGAGGAGAAGCTTTGGGTTATGCCGAGGGGTTGAGAGGGTGAAAGGGTAGCATGAATGAACGATCAATAGATATATAGTTACCTGCTACCAGGTGCCTACCTTGCTTTTCACTGTATTTCATCAAGACACAGGTACTTCTATTATCTTCAATCTATAAAAGCTCGACGAACATTTTTTTCTTCTTTTATAAATTATTATTATTATTATTATTATTATTATTATTATTATTACAATATTAGATTTAAACAAATTTTTTTTAGATCTCTCTTTCCCGTAAATGCAAAAAAAAAATGAAGCGTAAAATATAAATGAAATATAAATAATCATTTAATTATTATATTTGGATATAGAAAAAAAGTTTTCGAAGGAAGAAACAATCTGTGTCCTCTGATTCTTTTTTTCATCATTCAATTTTTATTTAAAGAAAAAAATAGAAACGACGTAATGTTAAGAATATAGTTTAAAGACAGAAAAAAAGAGAGATTTATTTTGTCGAGCAGCGACACACGAGGGATAGTTTTGATGTATTAGTATACGTGAGCGCATGCGTTCAACGACCAAGATGATACGTACCCTATAAAAAAATGATTAAACTTATAGGTACCTATATATACATATATACACATATATTTATATATATAACTAACCTATGTAGGTAGATATCTACTTACATATATCTACTTCATGTAGCGATCTTTTCGAATATTAAAATGATACTTTATTCAGGAGTATTATACGCGAGTATTCGCGCGTTTCCGAGTATTACTTGCTTTAGGGAAATGGGGCTTATCGTGCGTATGAAGTGGCGAGGTGGGGCGGGGGAGGGGGAAATGTAGGATTAGGAAATGGAAAGAGAAGAAAAATGTGCGAGAATAGCTCATGTAAATAATTCATTTTCGATGGAACACGTGAGAGAGAAAAAGAGTAAGTGACACTCGGTAGGATACTACCGATTGCTAGATATGGTCGAGAATTGGAATATGCTGAATTGTCTATGGGGATTTCTTTGATGTAACAAAGATATTTGTTTTCCAAGAGGGTGCAAACTAATGAAAAAATAGGGGAAAAGGAAGTAAACCTTGGTGCTCATTTTGAAATTCGTTCGTTCTTCCAAATGTTGCTCGCGATATTTCATCATATATTTTTCTATCCTTTTCTCACATATAAATACATAATTTATTATACACTTTTCTATCTCTTTCTCACACACACACACACACGCGTGTAACTCGTTGTGTATTTTTGTAGTTTTATGTTGTTCATTTTCAATTCTTTTTGTTATTTCATCATCGTCGTCGTCGTCGTCGTCGTCGTGGTTGTCGTGGATGTCGTTGATGTCATTGTCGTCATCGTCGTCTTCCTAGCACTTGGCAAATGCTGGAGACGTCGAGTCGCCTCGGCTGACCTTACTATTGACAAGGGCGCCTCCTCTCTGATTTATTAAGCCCCGGGCGACGTAAGGAAATGAGCTTCTCGTCGCGCACGATAAACACATACGATCGCGGAGAATATGTTGCGAGGGGGGAATGGAAGGAAAAAAGGATGGGAGCGTGGGTGGGTGAGGGAGGGAGGGAGGTATATAAGAAGAAAAAGAGAGAGAGAGAGAGAGAGTGAGAGAAGGAATGAAGGAAGGAAGGAAGGAAGGAAGGAAGGAAAGAAAGAGAGCTACGCGAGTTTTGCTGGGGCTTTTTCGGAGCTTCGATCTATAAACGGAACCGGCCAACGACGTACGCCCTATATAAAATCCTACTTTCTCTCTCTCTCTCTCATTCTCTCTCTATCTTTCTCTCTTTCTATTTCTTTCTTTCTTTCTTTTTCAATATTTCCTTCCTTTTCTAACTTCATATCTAACTCGTACGTCGAGGCATATACACACACACACTGAAAAATATCGTCATATTTTTGTGACAGCCAACTTCGTCAACGACTAATAATCGCACGAAGTTTAGCTTGCACCATACACCGCGTTATTCTTACTGATAGTTATAATGTTATAGTTCAAGGATCTCGAAAGTATACAAAAGCGTACCTACGTGTGCATCTATATGCATGGATATGCACACTTATGTATATATATATATATATATATATATATATATATATATTAGGTTTAGCAGTTA